ATATATATATATATATATATATATATATATATATATCCATGTTTAAATTATTTAAGTTAATATATATCCAGGGGAACGTATATATCCATGTTTAAATGAATCATTCGAATTTATAACAAACGACCTATGAAATAAATAAAGAACAGAGCTGAGAAGCTAACCAACCGAATCAAGGCAAGATAGAAGAACGAAAATGATTTTGAGCATTAAAGTTGTGGATGAACACCGAATACGTTCATATGTAAATTTTTGAACTAGCAAAAATGCCACTGTCACAAAATGTAATGCAATATGCAAATTTCGAGATGAACAGATTTTCAACATTGACACTGAACACAAGCTTGCAATATTTCTTATATTATCAGCGCCATTCTTTTAGGGGCTAATCAGTAATTTTTATAGAAATCATTAGATATCCACAAACAACAAATACCTGAAACATTCAACAAATAGTTAAATTGTTTTATCCATTGCAAATTTATTTTTTTGAACTCACATAACTTCATAATTGAAATGTTTGCTGATAATTTAACCATGCTACTCCCCTTGATAACTGGTGATAACCAATCTCTAGTAATAATGAGTTAGCAATAGTGATAACCTGGATGAGCTATTTCTGCATGATGTTTTCAGTGTAACATTTGCCACACGTCTTCCCAACACTTTCTCAACATCAATTTTTCGTAAAGTGGTTATGTGCTAGTAATTCATCATAAGACTGAAGTTCAGATCATCGACGCAATCTGTATGATTCCAATTAGTGCGTTATACTTGCAATGGTAGACCATTTCCAATACCGATCGACTATTGTTTCGTAAAAAAAAATAAAATAGTTTACGGTACAGCTTTCATTTTCATTTTTTATGCTCCATCAAGTATTTGTTGTGTTTTAAGTAAGAAGATGGGATAAAAATGATAGAAGTCGTGCCAGTCACTTTGGACAGTGCGTATTCTTCTTGAATCAACTAAGATATCTCGAGAAAACAAAATTGTAACAATTTCAAGATATCCTCAAACAGAAATACCTAAAACAGTAATTAAAATGGAATAAAAGTTATATTAGTTTAGCCAAACAAACTGTCTTAATTAACTGAAAACAAAATAGTCTTGCTAATAATACTAAAACAGAGCGAAATAATAAATTTCAAGACGATCAAAAAATCAAAATAAATATTGATAAAATAATGAATTACTTATCATCCTTCTTAATATCAATAGAAAAAATATTAAAATTATGATCTAGTAATAAGCTCAATTCAACAAAACGCTATTATCAATTAATGCTTTCTTTAAATTTAATAGGAATCTTATCATGCTCGATCACTTCACTTTTATCAACTAATTATTATTATTTTCATCATAATAATTACTGTAAAACAACGAATGCGCAATCAACTACTAGACGTGAAACATTGTCCAAATTTGAAATGATGGATGATATTAGCTGATAGCGAATGATTTAATTAAGTTTGTAGAATTCATCATATATTTTGAAAAGCTGTTGACAAATATTGTTTAGAATTAGGTATTCTAGACAGTACTTCAGTTTTTATTTCTTTTTTTTTCTTTCTGAAAAGACAGAGAGCAGAAAGTCTGATGCTTAGCAAAGGAAAAATCAGTAAAGCTGAATCGTGATTGTTTATGAAGCATAGTATTTATCCGATAAATTAGTTGGTAGTATAGATTTTAGGAAAAAAAAGTTGCAGAAGCAAAAGTAATTTCAAAAAAAAAGTTCAACTCTTTAGTTGATTTTTTTTTTGAATTTTGAGATTACCCCACAAAACTTTGATGAAATTTCAATCTCTTGAACAGATGTAATCGAGATGCAAACAATTAGAATGGATAACATTGTCACCATTTGTCTCACAATTGTTGTATGCTAAACATAATCGTTTTTCAGATAAATGTTTAAACAAAAACTACGAATGGAATCTCGTTTCAAAGAAAAAAAAAACTGATGGTATTATCTGCACTGTTTGAATTCTTCCCATCTAATCCTCATAAATTATTGGAATGAGTTTTAAAACAAAAACACATTCATTTTCACATGTCACATCCATGAGAACATCTTTGCAATGGAATGAATTCGCATTGAATGTGCTAAAAGGATCAGATTCAATCTGATAATCTATGATTATCATGATTTTCGCTGTCATCGATAACATTTCGAATGGTGACATTTTCAATGATATTGTTGCTTTTGATGGTGACATTGTTTCCCTACATTGCCTCAGTAATCGTAATTTCCTTTAAAGTAGTTGTTAGTGCTTTATCATCTTTATCTTTTGCAGTTCTTGTAATCTTTACACAGACTTCCATTTAATCCATTTCTTCCCACCACTTAGTTTTTTTGTTATTAACGATGAAAATTGATTAAAATGAGTGGGTGACATTATAGAGCAGAAAGAACAGTTTAAAAGAGAGATGTTGTCGTTGGTGAGACATTTACGATCCTTCGTAACATTTCTGCGTGTTTTGTTCGAAGCACATCTGTTAATGATGTAAGCATCGTTAAATTGCGTGTTGTGAACTAGAAAAAAAAAAAAACAATCAGATGTGGTCGATAACATTCCAGTTCGTCCACCTGTCTTATCACTGATAACATTTGCTGGAAATAACATGTTCAGATTCTGCTAATAAGTTATGTTTGCTACAGATGTTGCCAATATAAAATGGAAACCGGTTAAATGACAGCTTTTCATAGAGCTAAACTTTACTGCTTCTGCTCTTGTCATTGTGTCAACTATGTCGGCGTTTGCTAATACCAAATAATTAACAGTTTAAACATTGTTCCACTTTTTACCACTGCTATAACATTCGCCACAGCTAAAATCTAAAGTATCTCCCACTTCATCATTAATGATAGAGTTAAGTCCGGACCGGATGATTTTTTCATTTTCAGATTCCCCAACTGATTCAGTGGGAAGTTCACTTGAACAGATTAACATAGAGAGACTTCTTTGATATCTTTGCAAATATCACTGTCACTGAGTGGTTATCAGCATTCACAAAAATCCAGCTTTGTTTGTATCTGATCTGCTACCATTATGTTATCATGTATTGGATCCAAAAAAAAGTTTTTAGCCACATTTTAAAACTTTAAAACATATTGGAAACTGATAAATCATTGAAATCAAATGAGTAAATATTAATTTTTTAACAACTGTAATTAATACCGATCGAAATGGATTGAAGGACTAAACAATCGACTTTATAGTGAAGTTTATTAGAGAAGTAAGCAATTGAATTTTGTCATAAAAATGTATATTTCACTACAATTTATGCAAAACCGACACTGTCGATAGGTTAAAGAGCAGGTTAATTGAAAGTTGTGGCTAAGCGATTAGCAAAATTAGAACTATTTCGGATGTTACCATTACCCACTTTGTAGTTTTAATCACAAACAAATAATATTAGGAGCAGAGTAGCAATACAATCTAATAGTCTTATTAGCATTTTAATCTGATCATGTTGACGACATGGGTAAAACATGACACAAGAAATTGTGCAATGACAAATATAAATTGCATTGTTTCAAGTTAAACTCGTCTTCAGTTACATATGATACATGTATTTGCAATCATCAAGTGATTAAAATGAAATGAGACATCTGATAAGGGTGAACATGATTGCTATATTCCCCCACGTTATAGGCAGTTTTATCAATTCTTTATGAGCGTTAACATGCTGCTTATCGTAATCCACTGGATGATGAAAACATAAGCTAATTCCACTACTTCACAGAATTACTTGCTATTCAATGAATGATTTAGCATAATTTAAAATTTGAAATTTCATTTAGTATTTCAATAACTTGTAATAATCATTGTAAAATATTCGATAAATTCTCATTATTCAACATAAATGCTATCACTTCTTATGGTTGTCCGATGATAAATTCTAATCACTGCACAACTTAACTGCAATTTTCCCTTTTAGCATAAAGAAGATATCTATAAAATAATGATATGGGAAAGTTAGACTGCGTTGCGGTTGTGGGAAAGATGAACGATGATTAATAGCGAAAATGTGGACTGCTGATTGATTGATACATTTCCAATGTATCAATCAACAACTAATCCACCCTTATGGACACAGATAAGGTGAACTTAGATGCAAAGGACAAATGACTCATAGATTTTTGGTTTTTTTTTTTTTTTGTATATCCGAAATATGTTCGCTTTTAGAAAAGTATAAATCCATTATTACATAAATTTAGAAATTTCTAAATTTATTTTTTAAATTTTTTTGAAAAGTAATTGTTGCTGAGAGAAGTATTGAGTATGGCGCATTTGTTGCTCGTTCTTTCTTGTTTGCTTCTTACCTCTCAATTTCTTCTTTAAATCATCGAATAATTTGACTTTTTTTTCGAGCCAGGATTGAGGAATATGGTTAATGGTCATATGGATAAAGCAAATAGTATGTTAGGGAGAGATCGGTATAGATGCTTTTATGTCTTCTGTTGAATGCATCCTTCAAACGAGTTGCCTCGACCATTGACCAATGGCCATGTTCGATTTAGCCGAAAGCCAAAAGACTCAAACGATAAGCTATTCAAGCCAAACGACGAGCTGTTGCTATGAATGAACTTCATATTTGGATGTGCGTATTTGGTTGGTAGTCTGGCAGTCTTCTATAGCATCAAAATCCATCATCCAAGAAAGAATGAAATATTTAGCAGAGGGACAGCAGAGGGTAGAACTGCAGCACAGATCGCAGAGAGAGCCAAGGGAAATGAGTGGGCTTGTTATTGCAGCTGCTTTATTGCTCGTTACCCTGTCACTTGCAAATTTCCAGTAGGCTATTTATGAAAGTGGACGGCATTAAGGAGTTCGAGTTTCTTCGGTCATTGTCCACCTCTAACAGTTCGTCATCTGGCTACTCGTTTCCCATTGTGTGTTGTCTCTACCAAGAGCAAGCAGCTGTCTACGATCATATTTCATCAAGCCATTTTATACGGCTCTCTCCAATTTAATTATCAGGGTACATTATTTGTACAGTACCAAATAGCCAGCTGTGTATTACTGCCATCTAATGATGATTCTCTACTGGTTACTGTGCTATCCGTACTGGTACTGGTCACCACCTCAAGAAACTGAAGTTGCTTATTGAAAAGTTAAACACTTCAATGCGACGGCAATCCATCTACCTTTTATCATTTCTTCTTGCCTTATTCTTATCCACTTCCTCGTTTCTCCCAGGTAAAGTATCACTGATGTGTTCTTTTTTTTTATTTTGCCTCATCTCCTTTTTAGTTCCTTCTAATCCCACTGAGTTCGAGTCTTTATTTGACTTCCCTTGTAGTTCTAACTTATAGTTCAATCTTTCAATTTGATTTAATGCATATACCAGTTTTGCAGTAAATTTCATTCATTTTTAATCATCACACTAAGATTAACAAGTTTTCTTTTCTTTTTCTTCGAATAATTTATTGATAGCTTGTTTTCTCAGTAACAAATTTAAGTTTAGTGGATGGCTTAAGCTGCGGGGAACAAAATTTTTCTGCGCTAAGCACCGATCTTGGCTTCCTACATATCATTCAAAGGATTTCTGTTTTGGCCCCATTATCATTATTTTATGTATATATCGATGTTAGTGATGATCACACTGCCAAAATTCAGCTACGTACTCCCAATGGATCGCCTTTGGTATATTTGAAAGCTCAAAATATTTCTCTTGAAAATTCATGTTGTAGTTTTTTATATTTGAAAAACAATCATTGATGTTAATTATCATTTAATGAAAAATAAGATAGTGTTAAATCATATATCACATTTTAATAAACGTTTTGATACGAAAATTCTAGAATAATAAGAAGTTTTGATGTATCCATAGTGACCAGCATGACAATCGGCAGAAGAATTTAATACTGCAAAAGTAAAATTCGCCGAGTAAATTGATTTTCAAAATTCATACAATTTGATAATCCTATCAATTTTTGTTGGAAAATGTTACATATATTTGATTATTAAGATTTTATATTCGTCATTGTCGGCTACGGCTTCGGAATGGCAAACATTGGATGTGCTTACAAAAAGGATTTATATTGCGCCCGTATATAGTTCTGATGCTGATATCATTCCAACTGTCATGATTACTGCCTGCAAATATTGTAAGTATTTTTTAAAAAAAAAAAAAAGAACAAATTTTCAAAAATATTTCAAAGTGATTTATTTAAACCTAGCAAGAAAATCTGATTGATTATATGATCGTAAATAGATAGAAAGGAAATGTGATACGAGAATTTTCAAACAAGCTGAGAAAAAAATCAAAGTTAGGGGACCTAAACTAAATGATAATTTAATTGACAGCAGTAAATTTCGATAAATGGAAAGCTTCAAAAGAGTATTTCTAGCAACACCGATATCATATTTTAATGATAATATGTATTCCATTGATACGCATAAAGCTGGTATCGTTTCGACGTATGAAAATCATCTGATCGTTATGTTTCGCACATTTGAAAATGGAATATTCGTATTTTCGATGGCCGAACAAGGCGATTTACTCATTGCTCAAATTGTTCACGGCAAAGTTTTTATTATTTTTGATTTTGGTAAGTTAATTATATCCTGTTGAATAATGAAGTTTAAAGTTACTTTTCTGAAGAATATACTAATAGAAGAAGTACAGCACAGGGATTGATATCATCTGAATTTATATGGTAGAGATTTTTAAAACAAATTTTAGGCTCACTTACTCAAACAACAATTTCTGGCGGAACAGCATTGAACGATGGTGAATGGCATGAAATCCGCTGGATACATCAATTTGATTCCGTACAGTTATTTGTGGACGGTGTCATCATGAATACTACTGCTCCATCCGGTCTTTATAGGAAGTTGGACTTCGATAGAAAGATTCATATTGGTGGACGACCAGTAGAGGATATGAATAGCGGTATTGAGGCGAGCTATCATGGATGTTTTGCACGGATTATCCTCAACAACATTGACCTCTTGGCTCAAATACCTAGGTCACTACGCAAAGACTGCCAAGTACCCAAATTTTTTATTTCATTTTATATTTTGAAAACCTGTACTGAAGGTAAAATCATAGACTGAAATTTTGGATGTGATATGGACGAATTTTATTCTTTGTTTTTTTTTTTTGAGCACTTTAAATTCGTCTGAAAAATGGAGAGAAATGAAGTTAAATAATTAAGGAAAACTTTCATCTTCTTAAATTTCAGTTTTTTTCTTTTTTTTTTCGTTAACACATTTAACTTTGGTGGATGGCTTAAGCTGTAGAGGAAAATTGTTAGAAACCTTAAAATTTTTAAAAATGTTTTAATAAAAGAACAGATGCAAAACGTTTGCAATTTATTCACAGATGCCAAAATCACAATCGATGACCATTATGACCAGTGGCTATGTGTCAATACCATTTTCATTTTTGCCATTTTCGATCGAATTTCGTATTCTGCCTCAGCCAAGCTCATTATTATTACTAACCGATGCAAAGAACAAATCGCTCGCGCGAATATCACTGAATAAAAAAGGCTTATTGGTTTTAACATTATTTGCTAATATGTCTGAAGTTGAGCAACTGCCACAATCAGGTTTGAATTTGAACTTGAACTTGAACTTCACAAAATAAACTCTTTGGATCCCATCCCGTTTAATTATCAAAAGTTACAGATGTATTTGATATATATTATCGTCTGTAGAAATGGAATTCTTATCACCACTTTTTTTTTTTTACAACACGAAAAATTCTGAAATATCTCAATGACAACTTGAAATATAGGCAGATTAGTAAATGATGGCAGTTGGCATTCTCTGTCAATGATGATTTGGGGAGCTCGATTACATGTTGATGTGGATAGTTACACGATACTTTGGTTAGAAGGAAATGCAGTACGAAATTTAGCTAAACACCTCACCCATTTTCATTTATCAGCGATTGGATGTTATCGATCCGCTACTGTAGCTTTCAAATCATCAAACTTAATTGGCAATGTTACATTGGATACATGTCATTTTCAGGAAAGGTTGCTAATTCTCACTTCTACATTATCAACTTTTAAATGCTTTTTGGAATACAAATAAGGCTAACGGCGTACTAATATTAATGTATAATAATATACTGATATAACATTCATTTAAGAGTAAGACTTCAAAAGGTACATTTTAGATGGAAACTTTGATAAGGTATATGAAAAATCTTAGTGATAAAATAATTTAATATACAACCGATTGATTAAAAATCAATTAAGTTTTATAAAGCTTATGAGAATAATAGAATCAAATGTTTTTTCAGATGTCTTCCAAATCCTTGCGAGAATCATGCCATTTGTGAGCAAACATCTCTCAATGACTTTCACTGTCATTGTCGTAATGGTTACTACGGGAAAACATGTCATTCAAGTGAATCAATTATTAATCATATTTATTAGAGAATGAGTGACATAATGTTGATCGAAATTTTATAGCAGCTATTATCTGATGAATTAATTGCAGTTATACTATACCGATCTTTGTGATCTTTCATAGAAATTCCATAATTCATAACATTTTCGCACCGATTCTAGTTTCATAAACTTTCAATGGATGAAAAACTCAACTGTTATGGCAATAACAATTTAGCACGGAAGTATCATTCCTGTGAGGAATTCTTTCTGAAGAATCCACACATCAAAAGTAAGAATGTTACAATTGATATGGATGGTGGAAATCCATTGGAGCCACTTACGGTACAGTGTGAACGAAATTTCAAAGATTACGATGACATGAGAATTACCTCAAAAATATTCCATCAATTTGGAAGTAGTGGCATATTAATCAGTGGAGATTATGAACCAGGTTCCGTCAAAAGGTCACTTGATTATGGTATTGCCATCGACCAGTTAGACCGTTTTATCGATGGATTTGAAAACTGTATGCAGGTACATATATTTTTGTATTACTTTGCTCAATTGAACTACTTGGTCTTTTACCTTTCGGATTTACTACAGAACTGAGGAAGTTATCAACAAGTAGTGACTTCAATGAATCCTATTGATAACATTACTCATACAGGTACTATGCTTATAGTATATGCGTTATGAATGTCGAGGAGGTGCGAAATTGATGAGTTATGGTGTAGAGCAAAGGCCATCATCCTGGTACAGTACACGGAACGGTCAACATGCAATGCAGTGGGGCGATGCGCCACCTTATTCAAGGATGTGCCCATGTGCAGCAAATTCATCTTGCACACATAACAGGTTTTATTAGCTTCAAATATGCTGAATATTCTGTTATTCGATAATTAAACCTTGCACAGGTAATGAGCTGATTCTCCTTCATTCTTCAGGTACGCATTTATCATCTCCAAAATATCTTGCTTCCTCAACCATAGTAACTTCAAGAACTTGGTGCTTTTCAGAGTGTGTAATTGTGATAGCGGCGAAGATAGTGTTGATGAAGGATACAATCCTCACATACAGTTATTACCAGTGATGAATTTATACCTTGGAGGCACAACAGCTTCATCGTCAATAAATGTTTTTATTGGCCCTCTTATTTGTAGCCAACGTCGTGAGTGTAACTTTGCTGGTTTGGGTCGCCAATTGTTTCATATACAAAGCAGTCATTTTGAATGAAGATAACTTCGATATAATGGTTTCTCTGTTTCTTAAGAATCATTTAACCTATAATAACTCATTTAGCCTATATTAGCACACCTTAATGATGACCTTTTCATGCAGATGTATTTGATGGAATAACATTTCTGAATCGCAATGCTCGTTTGGCTGGTTCACAAGCTTTATTCGGTTCAGTTATGGATCTCGAGTTTCAGATACGCATGTCACATGATCGAATGACAATTTTCTTTTGGGAATCATTAAATGGACAGCGTTGGTATCAACTCAATGTTACAGGTTATCAGTTTAGAAGAAAGTTTGCTCATTCCACCTTTCTTGGTTGAATACTTAGTTCAGTCCATCAATCTAGATTGTAATTATTTTCTTGCTTTTCCTTTATGCTGCTTACATCAGTTCTAAAGAACTGATCCATTTTGAAGGGCATCTATAGACACAAACGATTTAAAAAATTATGATTTAATAAATGATGAATCTTTAGATGGACACCTAATAGGACAAGTCGTAAGTGGAAGCAAAGTTTTTGAAATCAAATCAAAAATGTCTGTGAATGATAACAGATGGCATACAGTGTACTGGGAAGTGAATGTGAATGGAATGATGTTGAACGTGGATAACGAAAGTAGTTTACTAGATGTTCATATCATACCCCCGAATGTCTACACCTGGATTATAGGTGAAGCATTTTCCGAATTTTTTTTCTTTTTCTTCTGCCTTTTTTTCTTTCTGTCGCAATGCCATATTTTAGGGATTGGTTTCAATAAATTATAGGGTCACGAACTGAACAAGGTTTGTCAGGTTTTGCGGGTCAGATTCGAAATATGTACTTGTGTGGCAATGAAATTATGTTACGATCATTGGTGAGAAAGCAAGGACGAGGCATGAGGGTTCGTCTTATTTTGAATGATAAATATTCTGGAAGGTAACATTGATATTTTCGACTTATTTTCATTGCGAAATCACGTAAATTTACCGTAATATAATGCATTTCTGGATGGTAAGTGGTATCCGACTGTTCATTTGCACGGTATGTTTGATTGCACAATCTTGTCTGGTGAGTATGGTTAAAATGGTGGAAACTTTTAATTAATTAATTTATTTGCTTTTTTCTTTTTTAATTTAGGGTATCGAACTTGGCGAAAAAGGAACATGCAAGAGTGATGATTGTTTAAATCATGGCCAATGTATTGAATTCTATGACAGTCACAAATGCAATTGTAACAATACTCCATTCGTTGGTCAAAAGTGTGACCAAGGTAACTTTTGCTTTTTAAATTACTGGATTTTTGATTGGTTATTAATTAAAAGAACTGTTAACAAATAAGCACTTTTAAAGTACAGTAAATACTAAAAACGAGTAAAGGATCGATTCTGATCCCTTCATTAGACGGAGAATGATGTTATAGATGTCGGTATATTTATACCGAAAAATTCTGAACTGATGATTCCATGGCAACATCCAGCTCAAGTATCGTCTTGTTTCCGGATAGCTGTACAATCATTCTCCTCTAATTACTCATTGATAAGAGCAAAGGCATTATTTGCAGACTGTCAGTTTAACTTAACTATCAATCAGAAAGGTTACATTTTGCTATATTATGAAATCTCTTTTGGGTACCTCATAGGATGTAAAAGTGGTGATAGACGCCATTAAGACACGACGAAATATGTTTGCGGAAGTATCAGACAGATCAGAAGAACATTTACACCTGTTAAGTAGTTGGAATCGGACGGTTATATCATTTAACATCATACTGATTAAAGGGTATGAAAGGTTTTATGACCGCTATTTCATGTATTGTATGTATTGTTAACCTTGAGTACAAATGATTTGACCACTGAGAATTCTGTTGTAGTGAATAACTGAGTGACCCCAGTAAAGTTTTATTATCAGGAAAAAGTGTTGAATGTTGTTATTAATTTTCACAGGTTATCTCGAATTGTCAGTCTTCGATGGTTTTTTTTCCACTATAAAGCTGCAGATAATAGACATAAATTTGACGATAATGAACTCACCGATGTTGATTTTTGTGCCGAAAATACTGAATTTACACTTCAGGTTGGCTGAAAGTATTTAAAGCTATAAACGGATTTACGGTCCTACCTTCATTCGCTTTTTTGTTTTTTAAAAAAAAAGAAAAAAAATCATACGTCAGAATTGTAAAAGGAAGGGGAAAACAATTATGAAGAGCAATGTGGAAATATGATGGCACATATCGGAGGAGGAATAAAGTGTCTCAGAAGAAAAGGAATGAATTTCCATAGATATATTATTCACAGTTATGATATGATATCTCGATTGTTTTTTCAATAAAATGATTGAACTGTTGTATTTAACTTGTTTAAGGAATGTAAATTTTTGCAGATTAACGATGAAAATATTTTTCGTATAAGTGGCAACTGGTCATTCTTCCCACAGCTCAATGTTTGGAAATTCATTGATAAAAGTAATTTCTATATTATTAATAATATTTGGTATTTCTGAGCTCTTCTCTATAGTGATTGATACCATTATCATCTGTAAGTAATTTCCTTTCGATCACAGACTTTGCGGGCTGTTTGACAAGACTACAAGTTGGTGTCGCTTTCCCTCTAAAGGATCCATCATCGTCACGTCTTTCGTCCAGAGGTGACATACGATTTGAAGGTTGTCCGTATAACCATATGTGAGTTATGCATCCCTTTTCCTGTTTTTTAGCGGATTTTTTAGTATTTCATGTTTCTGAAACAAGAAATTCCGAGAAATGATAATTACAATCTTAAGGGATATTCTCAAAGAAATTTCTCGAAGACAAATTCTTGAGGAAAACATCCGACATAGATATTTAATGTTTCTGTACACTCTAATATATGTTACAATCACATGTTACTTCAGTTTTAATATTAATTGTGAATATTTAACATTAGGATTAATTGAGTAGATAGCAGTTATTTTTCTTCAATGTGCACTTCCTGGATTTATTACAATTTAGGTTTTTTGATCAAATGCCAAAACATGAAGAAAAACCGTTGTTAAGCGACACTCGCATCAATGCTATCATTGAACATAGCACTTTTTCGTTGACTTTAATCAGTAAGTTTTGATGATCAATTGTCCTATGGTCAACAACTTTTTTCTTGCTTTTTTCTCTATTACTGTCCTCTCAGTTATGAATAGAAAATTAATGGAGTAATCATCATTAAGAGACGTAAAAGCACTAAGCTGATCAAAAAACCAAAAGATTTTCTCAAGAAATCTTTTTAATTTCCTATTTGTTTTTAGTAATGGTCGGCGCAATCACGGGTTGTTTCTTTTTTCTGCTCATTCTTACTGTTGTGATATGTTGGATTCGAAATCGGCCTGATGGTGTGTATAAAACGAATGAAAATATTTTAGCGTACTCCAGTCCGAATCGTTCCGAGGAGCCGCTTGTTGCAATTAATTGTGTTAATAGGGAGTATTTTTGTTGATAATTCAAACTCATGTCCTTTCTACTCAGGAATTTCAAATTAAGCATTGTTTAGAATTGCTCGTTTTCAGCCTTGATAAAAATGTTTTCCGATAATCGTTTTAGATTTTCCATGGCATTTCTTATAACTTTTTTGATCACATGCAATTCAATCGGCAATATGACTCAACTGACATAGTTTGAAGAGCGCTGATATGAGGGGATTTCCTTGACAAAATTCACACTTCGTTGTATAATTGATGTATAATCACGTTACTAGCAGATGATATGATGCACCTATGCCCAACCAGTACTGCTATTAGTCTGTTACATACAGTAGTATCTGACGTTTTGTTCAAATTAACTAAATGGACTATCCTTGCCAATCTAAATTGTGTTTTATGCATGTTTTCCCTTCCTATGCTTACCGTGTTTCTGCCTAAACATTCCGATTAGACGACCTTGTACTATAAAAATCACACTTTTCCTCTTCCACTTAAACTTTTATATTACTTCAAATACATTTACGCAAATAAACATCAAGCAAAAGCCATCACAGCTATCAAGAAAATCTGACAGTTTAAACGCAATATTGTACATGGATCAATTTCTCATTTTATTTGATGGCTCCATCTGTTTTCTGTCATTTCAAGAGATTGCGTTTGTGAAAATAAGAATTGCGGAATGCTTAAACATGTAAATGCAAAAATGATTTGTTTTTTCAACGATATACACCATCTTATAAATTTTTTATCGATAAGGCAAACAAATTGGCATCAGAATAATTATCATTAAAACAAATTTAAGCACAAATCATAAATCCAGTCATTGAAATTGAAGTTTACACCACAGTTGTCACATTCTTTGACGCGTTATTATTCTCTATGTCAAACCTAAATTTGACTCACAATCCTTGGTGATATCAGTAAAGGACAGTGGCAAAACAATAGATTTAACTAACAAAGTAGAATGTGATCATTCAGGTGTTAGTAGAAAGAACTATCATTTTCACTTTTGGAATAGTAAGATTTTCACAATTGATCTGATAAAGAGTAAATCAATTTTTTGAAGTAATGTTTTATTTTTCTTGGCATTTGGTTCCCAGAAGGATAAAACAAAGTCTCACATCCAAATTTCATAAGCGAAAAATCGACTTTTTAAGAAGAAATACGAAACGAAAATGGTGCAACCGCCTACCGACTTTGGCGAAAATCGATTTTGTTCGGATTTAAATAAAATCAAGATTCCTTACCAGTGTACTAGAGCTTGCGGATGATGAACTTGCACAGAAACTGTCTTTGCGCCGGAACATATCCTTTCGAATCCTTGGCGATACCGCTCGTGGTGGTGTTCCAGCAGCTGGCATGTTCGGTATAGCCAACGAAGGGACCAACTGATTTCGTACTGTTTTTCGCACCGGTAACTTTTCCAGAATCATAGTTGTGCTTTGTTTAGTTGTTATTAACTCTAAAATAAAGAGAAGTAGGTGAAATGCCTATAGCAAAATGAAGCAATATCAGTTTTACCTGCTTATTCAATAACAGTACCTTAGACGTATGTCTATACCAGTCTAAAATTTCGAAACATTCTAATTAATCCATTTATTGGTCATTTATATACTATTATTCATAGTCCTAATCAACTCACATGAATCTTTCAGTAATATTCCTCGTTACGTCTTAGCATTACTCATCATAATATGGTGATCTTATCTATGGATATATCTGAATACTCACTAAAGTCTCGTGGTGATTGACACTGGAGAGACGTTTGGTTGGAACAATTATTTGCGATTACTTCTTTCTCGACTGAGATATCATTTAACTGTTTGGTTTTCTCTTCACTTTGTGTATTTATTGGGCTTTCGTAAGCTCGTGATCTTATCTTAAGCAGAAAAAAAACAGGAAAAGTTATTACTAATAATCATTATCAAGTGGAAAATGTTCATTGCTATATAAATTGAAATGTTCGAATTTTTATTCCCGTAAAAAAAGTAATTTCAAAATAATAATACCTTACAAAAAGTCAATATAAGTAAAACGTTTGCAAAAGTCAATATAAGTAATAAGCTATTCCTATAATAGTAGTAGCTACTCTTGACTTACCATAGACCTTGTTGGTGGTGGTAATGCAGTATCTCGCCTAAGTATTACAGCACCAGCTGGTTCATCAATTAAACAATTGTATGAATGAAGCAATTCCTGCGCGTAATCAACACCTAACCTTCCCACGGTATGAATTACTTTCCTACCAATTGTCTGTAATACACGACATTCTTGACGAAAACATGAAGTCTTCGATGTATTAAAACTAAGTAACGAAGTAAAAAGTAAATAATCAAGTATAATACAGTAGTTCATATGCTAAAATCAAGAAGAAATAGATGAAACGAGTGAATAACCTTCCAGTTAGTGATAGCTTGCTTCCTTTGCCTGGCTCGAGTTTTCTTTGTCTGTTTTATCACCATTAAACCACGGATTTCCATACCAGCATCATTAGCTTCATTAAGTCTAATACTATACTCTAATTGGCACGCCGCTAATTTCTCCTTTTTCACTGATCGTTCCAGCACCATTACAATTTGCGCATACTGAAAACTACTAATCTCACTTGGAATGTTGCCTCATTCACTGCAGTACAAATTCTACAGTGGCATATTTGTATGCAAAACGTGCTACATATGAACGTCTTGAACTAAGTTCAAGATATTAACCAACAAAAAATTCTATTTTTTTGATCCGATACGGGGATTGCAGATGATTTAGTCCATCTAGAGTTATCTAATCAATACTCAAAAGTATTATATTATTTTGTATAAAACTTCAAAAAGACCATCGTACTGGAATACCACCGTATTGAAACTGACCCATCGTACTGAAACACTACCCAGCAACTATTGCCAGTCTCAAGAAGGTTCCAGTGAAAGTAACACTATACAATTTTTCGTGCTGATATTTACTTCTGAAAATTTTCGAATCATTTTATAAAAAGTTGTTTTTCTCTCCAAATAGTAAAAAATATCGACCTGTTGCCTCCAAGCTTTTTCTGCTTGTGCGATGACTGTTGTATAAGTATTACCCATCATAGCAATAAGTATATTAATTAACATGATCGGCATTATAAACATATAAAGGACGAATAATATCTTTGTTAACACTTCGTAATTAGCGCAAGAAAACTCCTCGTACTGAAATAAATGATAGTTTGTATCCTTTTCAGGATGCAATCCTACGGAAGCATATTATTATCTCTGAAATTTTTAAAAATTGTGTCAAAAAGCTTACGTCATAACCACCCATGCTGGCGCGAAACAGTGTAATAAATGTTTCCAGAAATGAAGAATAAGTAAATATATCATAGCCTTTCACTTCACAGTAATCTGGATTTAGTGGATTGAGCTCTTGCTTCGCGTGCATATCCTTCCCCAGAAAATAAAATACTGAAACGAAGGAATTGTACATAGCACGTGAAGAAGGCAATGTCAGTGATTGATTAATTAGAAAATCCTACGAAATTTCAGTTACTAAAGCTTTACTAGGGCATGGAATAAATTTTATAATTTGTAACTTTCTTCTGAAAAAACGAGTACGTTCGGTTTCAAACGACGGCTTGAACTGAATGATTGGACGAACGTGAGATGATTGTTGGCTAGATGAAATGTATTTAAAAAAAGAAATGTAGGTAGAACCTTGTGAAAATGAGACAAGAAATATTGCGGAAATGATGGCAAAGCGAATCATATCACCAGCAATCATACTATAAATCATTTGCACAAATGGTCCTGTTAATTTGGCACTTCTGCAAACAAATTTTTTTTCTTTGTTGGAGACAAGTTACACGCAATAAATTACATGCAAAATATATGATAAGGAAGAAAGACTAGTAAATGCATGATAAGTACTTTAAAATGTTGATAAGAATTCCCATTAATTTCAACTTGAATTGAAATTATCATAACATAGTTTATTTGGATTACTGGTAATAATGGTGATACTTGAAATTTGACTTGAAAAAAGCTACTGACCTGGCGAAGAAAAGAAAAAATATCCAAGAACCCGGTAATGAAAAGACCAATAAAGCTTCTTCAACTTGAATATTGCCCGATATACGAAAAGGTACACATATAAGAATGCATATATTGGCACCAAGAAATACAATTTTAGCCGGGGCTGTTTTCTGTAATGAAACAATAACGATAACATTAATAATAAGAATGAACGACGAAAAAATCGCAGAAGATGGAACTTCCGATGCATGAAAAGTTTACCAGATTTCTGATATATCCATAAAATCCTTGCGTTCTTAGTTCGCTAAACTGTTGAAAGAAAACAAAGAACACACAACTGGCTATTGTTAGAATTTCAAAGAATAATCGCACCTGCAAGAAAGTAAATATTGAATTATCAGGATCACCGAAAATATCCGGTCACACATTATAGCGTATCTTTCGGCACCGTCGCACCCGCACACCGAATACGGTCATGTATGGTCTAAAGAAGGCTGGCAGTTAATTATTATAATATCCTATTTGATCCAATCGCTATTAGCTTATCGATAAGCAAGACTAGCCATGCCTTTACTAGCTAATGTATAGCAGTATATTCCTGGCTTACTTGAAGCTTCTAGAATAAATTGCCCAATAGTTACCATGGATTTTTAATGATAAAACGATTAGCTTGACTTTTTTTGAAAAGGTATAAGGAAAAGAAAAAAATACAAAATATTAGTGGTTTATAAGAGCGGAGAATGCTCCCAAAGATGTGAAAGAATAGAAATGAGAATGACATACCCAATCACTCCATTCTGTTGCAATTAATTTATACGTAAGTCGCTCCGGTTCAGACGGTCGCATATAAACAACAAAGCATAAAAATATGAGATGTAAAATGAGCAATCCAAGCCTTTCAAATAGTTTTCTCTGCAAGTAGTAAGCCATTTCTAGTAAATCATAAAGAGTAAATCATAAAGATACCGTATCTTTAGATAAGGTTGAATATCAGTAATTAAAATACAGCATAGTAG